TCTGGTAAGGATTTAATGTACAATTTGTTTATTGTTATTGTGTTTTTTCTTGGTGCTGAAATAATGTTTAATTTTCCAAAATTTTTGTTGTAGTTTTTGTTAATTAATTTGTTTGTTTGTCTTTTCTTCTGCTGATTATGTGTGGTGGTGTAGTAGTAATATTTGCTATGTAATGAATTTGTTGTATACTTGGGATTTAATAAATATATATTTATTTATTGTTTAATTAATTGTATATAGGGGTTTGCATTAAATATATTATAGCTACATACAATTTTAGTTATAGATACAAGAGATAGCTTATGTTTGTTTTTATATGCAAAAACAAAATTTATTCTATTTAACTTATTAAACTAAATTTATTTATTATAACAAAAACATGGTTGTTTACTCAAAAAAAGCTTCAGCAGATATTTTCTAATTTTAATTGCAACAATTTTTTTCCAGGAATATATGTATATGTTTGGACAGGTCTGAATTCAATATACCCTCCACCGCGTGATTTTTAGGAAAAAAATGTAAAAGATGGAAAATATCTTTTAAAAAGAAGCATGGAAGAGATAAAGTCCAAGAGGGCTAGAATAAGATAAAGCTTTTAAAGTTATTGTAAACAAACTAGTTGATGATCATCACTGCCCAATGGTGATTAGAAGGTGTTTATACATTTTTTAAGAGATTCTCCTAACCCAATATGAAATACGAAGATATAATTAAATATTCTTTGCGTTTTGGGACAGACATTCACACCTATATACAAATGTACTTTTTCAATAGTTTCTCTAGTCAGAAAGTATCAAAATACAAACGTAGGTGATTCATTAGTTTTTGAAATAAAAATTGTCTGTCGGGATTGCTCAGTTATATGTTGTATTTGCCGCTAGAGTCAGGAGAGATAAGATGCTGAAGATATATCATGTTCAAATAGCCTTTCTTTTTGTATAAAGAACAGGCAGAATTTTCAAAATAACTCGTTTTGTGAAACCTAATCATATGGACTTTTTTGGCTTTCCAAAACCCCAAAAGAATTTTTTTAAAAAATGGAAGGCAAGAGCGAGGCTGTGCTCGGAAGATGTTAAGGTCATTTTTAAAATCATGTAGGCTCAAAAAGAAAGTCCGTGGATTGAAGAAACAATCCTGGATTGGATAACGAGCGAATGAAGCTTTCCAAAACACCATAAGAAATCATTCCATAAATGTAATGCAACAGCGACGCTGTACTCGGAAGATGTTAAGGTCATTTTAGAAGTCATGCAGCCTCAAAATGAGTTCAAAAGGAAGTCCTTGGATTAAATAAACAATCCTGAATTGGATAACGAGAAGATGACAAATGAAATGGAAGATGCCTTCAAATTTGTTGCGAATTAACAGGTTAAAAAAACAATAATGCTCTGGGTGTAGCCGAGGATACTAAGGACTAATTACTAGGTGACAGAACGCAAGAGCAAGGCTTTGAAGGCAGTAATAAGAAAACTTACTGATGAGCACTCCTTGCAGCTAAAACCGAACGTGATGAGTTGGCTGCAAAACTAGAAGTTAGAGAAGATATATTGCAATTAAAGGAAGATTTGCTCATATCGCAGAATGCATTCATAACATCCGAAATCGAGTCTGATTTGGTTGGTTGGTTGCGAAATTAGAGTTGAATATCAACAAATATATAATAATGATGATTAAAGAGGTTCATATAGATATCCCAATTGCCGAAAAAGAAGCAAACTTTAAAAAAGTGGATGGACAGCTCCATAGAAAACTGGACACCGGGAGTTTAAAAAAAGTGAATGCTATTTAAAAATTAGAGAAAATAGAAAGGAGGATTGAAATAGCCAATGCGGATATTGTAAGATTTGAGAGAATACCGTTAAGATGAACGCGCCAAACGACGACAGTATTCGAGAAATAGACAAACTCGGGAGAGCCATTTAATGAAGAAAGGATGTCTAGAATAAAACAAGCCCTAGAACTTATCAGAAACCTAGAACCTTTTCAGCTTTCTATAGAAAAGGATACTTAATCCCTCAGCTAATCACGGAAATATGAACAGTATAGTTGGGAATTGCTACTATTTCGTGAAAAGGGGATCAGTACTTTTTGGACTATGAAGTTATTAGATATTTCTTTTTACTTTTCTAAAACAATGTTCTAAGATATTGGAGAACATGTATGTTCTACCAGTAAATGTTCAATACCTCTGATAATGCTTTGGAATATACCATTATTATATGATACAGGTAGGCCCAAGTGAAAAGCTCGACGAAACCTGAATGATCCGCGATAGTGTTAAGATTGGACGAAACAAGTCTTACTGCAGAGTCTCCCTAACAAATCAAAAACTTTTAGTGGGAGCCGGCCCACTGTGCTAAACTAATACACGTTCGGTTTTTGTGTTTAATTGTTTAATTTATGTTTCGGATATATATATATATATATATATATATATATATATATATATATATATATATATATATATATATATATATATATATATATATATATATATATATATATATATATATATATATATATATATATATATATATATATATATATGCAAGGTTCTAATGTTAGAATTAAACAGGTATTCGCATCCATACAGCTGATGGGACAATGAACTGTCAAAGCAAATTTGAAATTGACATTTTTAAATAAAAAATTATATAAATTTGTAAAAAGTGTTAAAAAATTCATATAATATCAATTTCCGATTGGCGTCGTGTAGGAAAAAATATACAAATCTTCCTATTTTTGAAGATTATACATATCAATGTTCTCAAGCGTTGAAGAAACTACTTTTTTTCACAAAACTAACACCTGTTTCTCATTGGAATTTAAACCACTTCATATACACGCATACAGATTAACCCGTTCATACAGAAATTTTTGTGAAGTTATTTAGAAATAAAATTATTTTGAAAATTCTTCCTTTTATAATTTTTTTTCTTATATTTCTCATAAAATATTTTTTTTTGCTTTTTTTCTTACGGCGATCAAAATGTGTTTTGTTTTGATAAATCAGCTGATTGTTTGCAGATTTTTATACGGTGGTATCTGCTTAGAGTTCCTTTTCTTGCAAAAGAGAATATAACTACCTTACCTAACTTCTCCGAAAGAAATAACAGTACGTTTACATATTAAATCTCTACCCAGATAATTGACCAATTACAAAAAAATTGACTGTAGAAAATATACATAAAATTTATTGTAATCGGTTAATTATCAGGATTAACCAGGGTAGAAATTTTGTATGTATGCTCGACAGTGTCTTTTCATTGACTGAATCAGGGGTGCTCAAAACCGTGTTCTAGAACATGAAGAGAAAAAAGAAATAATTTAAGAGAAAATTAAAATTCTGTTTTTCTTTAGATTTTACTGTTCTATTTAATTGTTTTTAAACACGAATGTTTGCCAAAATAGTTTATAAAGCAAATGGATAAAAAATATTTGTATAAATAATGACTTAACACCGTTTTGTTCTTGATTTAAATAAGCAAAGAGAAATTTGACTGAAAACAGATATTTCTTTTTGAGCACCTCTGGACTGAATGTAACCTATCTATTTCGAAGAACTGGAAAGGTGATTTAAACGTATTGAAAAACAAGGATTGATTTCAATTACAAATTCCCGGTGGAGGGCATAATAAACATATAGAGAAATCTTTAAGTTTGGATTTGAAGGTTTGACGCAGTTCTCTTTAAAAGGAATTATGATAATGAAACACTCCATTGGATTTCTACAAAAACTATAGCAGTATTTAATTGTTTAAATAACATTGTCGGTTGTTGTGTGTTCTTTGCTTTAAACATTTTTCTAAACTTTATGAGCATCCGACAATGTAATGGCAGACATTTACAATAAGAGAGGATGGTGTGTGAGTGTGTGAGACAGAGAACATTTTGTTAATGGCAGTTTTCGTGTTTTTGTTGGAAAGAGTATTTCATTGACAAAATATCAGAGAAGTGTCAAACGAACAACGAACGCTTTTATTGTGCGTTGTCGACTATCAAACACCTGTCAAAGAGGAATGCAAAACAAAATCTAGTTGTGAAGGGAGAGTGAGATAATATTCTATAAGATTTCTGTTGTTGTAGTGGTTTTGTTAATATTGCTGGTTAAATTTGTATAATATGACTACGCTTTACTTTATAGTTTCCGTAACGGGTTCTTTTCGACTTCTTTTGCGATTTCGGCTAAACTGCATCACTGGCTCATTAAATTTCCACTAAATTGTTTATTTTTTAATGTTGATTTTTGATATTAGTTTTTTTTTTACTATTACTAATATATACATTCTTGTTTTGTATAAGATTATTTAGTTTTTAATTTTTCCTTATTTCTTGTAGTTATTTTATATTTAATATTCAACTTTACCTCACTTAAATAAATTTACTAACTATAACAAATTTGTGGGGACCGGGGGGAGGTTACTATATGTTAATTATTGTTAATATATATTTTTTTGGTTTAATAGTTTTTTTTGTTGAAATTTTTATTTATTATTAACTACTAACATCTTCTCTTTCTTCTTGTTGTTGTTGGTTGTCTTTTTTAAAGTGAATATGTGTTGTTGTTTTTGTTTATTTTCTTGAGGGAATAATGCTGTATAATTTTCATAAGTATTTTCTTTTAATATTTGTTTTACTAATGTTTCCTTTATTTATATAATTATTATAATTTTTGTTTTGGTATTTGACAATTATAATAAACTATGATTTAATTTGTTTTTATTTATTTATTAATGATGACATCACATTATGTTTAATATGTATATATAAATTTGTTTAGTTTATTCTTTATATAACCAATTTTTGTTGTTATATTTTCTAAGATAATTTATTTATTTTTTGTATTTTTTTAGTCCAATTCAGTGGGTTTGAATACTTTCAAAATTAACAAAAATAAATAACAATGAATTAAAATAAATTTGTTTAAAAAAAATTAAAGCAATTAGCATTTTTTAATTTTTTTTTGTAATCTTAATAATAAATATTTCCTTTTATAAATATCGAGTAGAAAAAATATTCGAATTTATAAGTTTTGAAGAGTTGTTCTTTTTATTATTTTTTATTTTGTGGAGAGATTTTTAGAGAGAGAGAGACTTTTTTCATTGGAGAGAGTTGTATTTATATATTGAGAGAAGAGAGTATGTATGGCAAAAATACTGCAGATTTTCTTAATTGATTTAAATGATATTTTTCTTGTTGTTGTTGTGGTTGTTAGCTTTGTTTCTGTTGACTTGTTGTAGTTAATTTTTTTTGTTTGTTTGTTTCGAAGAAAGCAAAGAACATTTAATAAATGTACAAATATAAGAGTATAGAAACTGTAAACTGTAGTGTTTTGTTGTAGATTAGTGTTGTAGAAGAGTATTTCTTTTTTTTGAATTTTTTTTTCCTTTTGTATCGAGTAATTTTTAATAACTATGTATATGTTTAGAAAAAGCTCTTTAAGAATCCAGCTGGTCCAGCCTGAAATAAGAAGAGAGAATACATTGAATTTAATATATGTCATGTGAGTTCAATGGATTTTTAATAACTATTAGTTTCAAGACTAACAATAAATGGAGCCGAAAATGCTATATTCAGAAAACTGTTAGTTTTGAGTAATTAACTACTACTACAACGCTGTAGTTCTTTCTGAGAGCATGTCATGGAATGGTAAAAGTTAACCGTTAATGAGACAATTCTGGGGAAACAGTATTACCATCCAACTTTTTGCAATTTCAAAAAAAAAAAAAAAAAAAATATGTATCGTAAGCGCAAAATGAAATAATTAATAACAAAAACAAAATAATTAAAAATTTAAATTTAATCTTGAAAAGTATAAAAAACAAAACAATGAGACGATTCTGAAAAAATATATTACCTTCCAACATTTTCAAATATCAAAAAAAAAAAAAAATAAATGAATAAAATAAACAAAAAATATATATTGTAAACGCAAAATTAAATAATTAAAAAAAACACAACATAAAAAAGTGTAAATTACTTTTTGAAAAGGATATTACCAAAACCATAAAAATGGCTTTTGATTCTCTAAACCATAGAAATATAATAAATTACAGACATTTAGAAGTTGATGTATTTGTACCCTGCACCACATAGTGGTAAGGGTATTGTGTTTTTGTACATTTGTTTGTAACATGGAGAAGAAAGCGAGATATACCCATACGTCCTTTTGATGATGCATGTCCGTCCGTCCGTCTGTTCGTCTGTCCATGTACTTTTGTAAACAAAGTACAGGTCGAATTTATTGCCCGATCGAGATGATATTTTGCACACATAATTTATTTAACCCAAATACGAAGTCTTTTTATCGGTAAAAATTTAGATATGGCTCCCATATATATCTTCAACCGATGTTGGGTTAATTGTGCACCAAATGGCCAATATCTGTTCAAATAACCTGCATTTTGGCACATCCAACCGAAATCAATATAGAAGCAAGTACAATTTGGGATTTTAAGTCCCTCACAAGTGTAATATGCACTCCACAACAATAATATTTGATACCGGACATCATATACAGGTCAAAAAAAAGAGCCTAAATTTTTGTCAAGGTCGGTTCAGATTTGGATATAGCTCCCATATATATCTTTATCCGATTTCAGGTTTATTGTGCACCAAATGACTAATATCAGCCTAATTGAACTGAATTTTGGCACTTCCGACGGAATTCAGAAAATCGGTTCAGATATAACAATACCTTTTTTTTTTTGGTTTTGGTACTTTTCAACCCCCTAATATTTTGCGATAATCTCTAAAAACAATAGATCGACTCAGATGTCGGGGACCAATATTTCGAGGTGTTACAGGTGTTTTTAGACCAATAAAACTTATAATACCCCCAACACATAGTGTTGTAGGGTATAACAACGTTTATTTATTACTAGCAAGTGGCCCCTACTTTTACCCCAAATAAAATGTATTATATAAATGAACGGAATTTATTAACATCAAGTTATAAATTAAATGGTACCTAATTGTGTACTATTTAGTATTTTCCGTAATCTTTTGTAGTACGAATTTTCAAAAACACCCCCAACCCTAAATTAACTCTAATGGAAAATTTGAGATTTCAAGCACTATCCCACATATTACAAAATCACCTCCTTATTTAGTACTTTTTAGTACGTAATTCCAAAGACCACTTCATATCACAAACATACACACTAATATCGATCACAATTAAAATTTTAGTGCAATTTAATGCCTTTTGAACATCTACGGTACGTATTTTCAAAACCACCTCCATATCACAACACTACACACCAATTCTGACCCAAACACCAAAACTCAGAAACATAACTATCCCTGCGATCAACATTAAATTTTGTATCCTTTTTGCCTTCTGTACTCTTGTAGTACTTATTTTCAAAAATAATTTCAAATTTCAAAACTCCAGCTCCATAGGTTCACCTAAATCCAATTTATACGAAATTTAGTCGCTAAGGATTCTACATAACCCAATCCCATAAACATTTATCTTGTTGTTGCAAAATGGTCTGGCTTTATCCCTTTATTGTTGTTTTTACAAAAACAACGTTTGTTTATTAGTGGAGAACGATGGTAATGTTTACCAGGGGGTAAGGCAGGGAATACCTAGGTTTCGGAAAGAGCCACCAATCCTCATCAGTTCCCTTGTTTTTGTCTGGGATATTCTCCCCAGAAGTTATTTTAAAAATAACTTCTATGACAAAAAACATTTTTTTACCCAAGTGACGAGATCGTAAGCTCAATAGAAGAGGAACCAAAGAATTAAATAAAACTAAAATTCTCTTAGAAAGTCTTCTAAATCTTACAACCGCACTTATAAACATTTACATCTTTCTCCACTTGTTATGCTTTCGTTCAGCCTGAACGAAGTAGCATAACCATGTAAGTTGGTTTTGTCTGTTACAACAAAAACCCCTTCGTCGACCGTGCCTTGTCTATTAAAAGAACAGTGTGGCTTGTTTGTTCGGGATACCGTAGTATTTTGTTGTTGCAAAATGGTCTGGCTTTATCCCTTTATTGTTGTTTTTATAAAGACTTTCCAAGAGAATTTTAGTTTTATTTAATTCTTTGGTTCCTCTTCTATTGAGCTTACGATCTCGTCACTTGGGTAAAAAAAAGGTTTTTTGTCATAGAAGTTATTTTTAAAATAACTTCTGGGGAGAATATCCCAGACAAAAACAAGGGAACTGATGAGGATTGGTGGCTCTTTCCGAAACCTAGGTATTCCCTGCCTTACCCCCTGGTAAACATTACCATCGTTCTCCACTAATAAACAAACAAACGTTGTTTTTATAAAAACAACAATAAAGGGATAAAGCCAGACCATTTTGCAACAACAAAATACTACGGTATCCCGAACAAACAAGCCACACTATTCTAAACATTTATCTTTATTCCAAATTCCGGGATTCCAGCCCTATCGGTTCACACAATACAAATTTAGTACATATAAGTACTAATTTTCAAAGCTTCCTACATTCCCCAAAACTACACTTTACAGTAATCCACAATTCTATTCTTTTCGTTTCGTCTATATACAAATTGTACGAAATATAGTACAGATAAGTACGAATTTCCAAAACTCCCCGTATAATCCAATTCTAAACTCCAAAAGTAATCTTAATTCCAAATTTCGGGATTCCAGCTCTATCGGGTCACCTAAATCCAAATTGTACCAAATTTAGTACCATATAGTCACATAAGTACGAATTTACAAAACTACTTAAATCATACAATCTCATAGAAATCTTATTTTCAAATTTCAGGCTTCCAACTCTACCGGTTCATGCAATAATAATCTTAGTTCCAAATTTTAGGATTCCAACTCTAATGGTTCTCCCAAAATTTAAATTGTGGCAAGTTTGATACCATTTCGTACACATAAGTACACATTTTCAAAACTACCTACATACCCCAAGTTAGTACCATTTAGTACCGTTCCTACATATAAGTACAAATTATAAAAATTACGTGCATACCCAAATCCTACACTCCGCCAGTAATGTTAAATTAAGGACTCCAGCTCCATCCGTTCCTCCAAATTCAAAATGTATCAAATTTAGTACCGTTTAGAGCTTTTCATATTAATTATATCAAACCTACTCCTCAACCTTGAATTTTATTCCAAATTTCGAGCTTTTAGCTCTAACTATTCACATAATACGAAATGGTACCAAAAGTACTTAGTACTTTTCGTATTCTAGCTTCTTTTGTTGTTGTAAAATGATTCTAGCTTTAGTCGTTTCGTCTGGGCGTTGATGAATCAGTCAGTCAGTCAATTAATTTACTCTTTTATTAATATAGATTTAAGAAAAATTGCCTTTTGCTTCTCCCGGTGGTAAACATTAATAAATACGGCGTACACTCGTGCGTATGCCCAATATTTTTCGTATTCACTTAAATACTCCCTTTTAATACAGGGCCGGCTAAAGAGTTCCACTTTTAGGTTCTCTCAATTTTGTTGCTCTCAGATTACATTGTTAGCCAATAGTTCAGATTGAGTGTGTGGAGAGAATTGCGCTCAGTGAAGGCACGCAGGGTTGCATTTTCATGGTCCTATTTTCATGGCCTTTCTGATATTAGCTAAGAACTATCAACAAAGAATCGTAATAATTTATTATACTACTTACATCTTGTTGTTGCTGTGTTTGTGCTTGTTTGACTTTTGCTTGGGCAATCTTTAAGGCTCTGCAAGGAATGAAAAATACACAAACAAATTGTTATGAGTTTCTGAGCCACCTAAACAAAAGTAATCAAAATGTTCAACACTTACTGTTGCAAGTCCATAATTGTCTTCTCCTTTGCATTCTGTTCCTCTTGTGACATTTGTACCAATTTGAGTAATCGTTCCGTTTCCGTTGCGGCCTTTTGGTGTTCTTCCTTGGTTGTTTGCAATTCCTTGATGCAACTGCAAAACAGGAAAGGAAGAATTCATTATACTGAAATAACTACTCTTAAGGAGTGTTGGTTGGAACTTACGCTTCCAATTGCCTCTGAGTGTCCATGAGTTTTTTGTTGAGTTCTCCCGCTGCTGCGGCGCCACCACCTTGAGCCTGGATCTGTTTCTCCAGCTGATCCATTTGTTCTTTTCGCTTACGCAGCTGTACATCGAATTCGACCATTTTCTTTTCCTTCTCTTCGATATCTTTGCGTTTGGCTTCGATCTGTTTGCGTTGTTCCTCAATGATTTTACGTTCACTTTCGACGGCCTTGGCTTGATTATCGATTTGCTTACGAACTTCTTCCAGTTGTTTCTGTTGTTGTTCCAATTGCTGTCGCTGTGCCTCGGTAGCTGCCGCCGTGGCACCACCAGCTTGAGCGGCTTGTTGTAATTGTTGTTGTAGTTGCTGTATTTGCTGTTGGGCAGCTTGTAATTGTTTCCCTTGTTCCTGATTGGCCAGCTGAAGTTGGGAAAAGTTGAGATAAATATTTGATAATATTCACATGTGTTATTACGACGCTCCTACAGTAGGGGGATTGCGTTACCGATAAAAATCGATTAAAGAACAAGTAAAAACCAGTAAGTTCGGCTGGGCCGAACATTGAATACCTTCCTCCATTTGGAACGAATTTGAAACTTTCCAAAAAATAAAATCCGTTAAAAATTCTATTAAAATCTGAAAAATACCGATATTTGCCATAGTCTGTGGTTGGATGCTTATTTCGAACCCTATATGGGGGAGGTACCAGAAGGAATGGTTCGATTTCTACCATCTTTATAACAGATCTTCTACGGATAGAAATATTGAGATATTATAAGTCCGAATGGAATCGGGTGTTAATTTTGCGTTTTATGAGCTTCAAGACTATTCACAATTTGGACCCTTTGTGGGGGAGGTACCAGAGGAAATAGAGCGATATATTCCATCTTCACAGCAGATCTTGTGTTAGTAGAAATAATGGGAAGTGAACCGGATGCTTATTTCGGATTTTATGATCGTTTTGGTTATTCAAAATGTTGACCCTTTGTGGGGGAGGGACCGGAAGGGGTGGACCGATATATTTCATCTTGACGCTAGACCTTGGATTAATAAAAATATTGCTATGTGTTTTATTTGAAGACAATCGGACTCTTACATCACATTTTATTTTATTTTATAAGAGTTATAATTATTCAAAATTTTGACCCTTTGTTGGGGAGGTACTTGATGGAATGGACCGGCATTGTCCATTTTCGCACCGAACTTAGCACTGATGTAAATATCAGGATTTCCAAAGTTGAAGTAAAATCGGATTATCTTTTCTCTTCCTGTGCAGTTAAATATTTTTTGTTGAAAACTTCGACCTTTTATGGGGTAGGTACCAGAAGGAATAGACCGATTTTGTCCATCTCGATCTTAGTTTGATAATAATATTACGATGTACCAAGTTTGGAGCAAATGGGATACTCCCTTCCAGAGTTACCGTGCGCACAATCCCGACAGACAGACGGACGGACGGACATCGCTAGATTGACTCTAAATGGCCTAAAACAAATTCGGTCCAAAGCGACCTAGGGACTAAACCGTTATTTCAATCTATATCTATAAAAGAGGAAAATGTTTGTACGTTTGTTTGTTTGTTTGTAATTTATGGACTCGAAAACTGCTGAATAGATTTTTCTGAAAATTTCCATATATACTGCAACATCGCCTGAAAGTAACATAGGCTATATAAATTTTTGAATTTCCACTTGGAACTGGAGATATAGCATCAGAATCGGAGGTACCTCCCAAAAATTTAGATTTTATATGCACATATCTATTGATCGGTTAAAGATACAGTCTCCAAATTTGGAATGTGTAACGGAATTTGGAACAAAAATACGTTTGCTAAATTATATTGTAATCGGTTCAGATTTGGATATAGCTCCCATATATATTTTCGACCGATTTCGTTCATTTGATGCCTCAAACACAATATGAATGTTCGATTCCAATGAAATTTGGAATATGTGACGGGATTTGATCCGAAAATAAATTTGTCAAATTATATTGAAATCGGTTCAGATTTGGATATAGCTCCCATATATATTTTCGGCCGATTTCAAGCATTTGATGCACCAAACACGCTATGTATCCCCAATTTCAATGAAATTTGAATCGTGTGATAGATTTTATCTAAAAAAATTTATTTCCCAAATTATATTGAAATCGGTTCAGATTTGGATATAGCTCCCATATACATTTTCGGCCGATTTCATGTGATTGGTGGACCAAACAAGATATGTATGTCTAAATTTAATGAAATTTAAAATAAGTAACGGAATCGGGAGCAAAAATGAATTTTTCAAATTATATTGAAATCGGTTCAGATTTGGATATAGCTCCCATATATATTTTCGACCGATTTCATGTATTTGATGCACCAAACACGCTATGTATCTCTAATTTCAATTAAATTTGAAATGAGTAGCGGAAATTAAAACAAATATACATTTGTCAAATTATATTAAAATCGGTTCAGATTTGGATATAGCTCTCATATATATTTTCGACCGATTTCATGTATTTTATGCACCATACACGATATGTGTCTTCGATTTCCAAGAATTTTGGAATATGTAACGGGATTTTGATTTGATAAATTAGTCAAATTATGTTAAAATCGGTTCAGATTTGGATATAGCTCCCATATATATTATCCGCCGATTTCACATATTTGATGCACATTTGATAAATTATATTCAAATACGCTCAGATGTGATTATAGCTCCATATATATACTCAGCCGATTTCACATATTTGATGCACCCAAAGCGAGAGAGACAAAATCTGGCACCAGCAAAAATTGCACAATTATATCGAAATCAGTTGAGGTTTGGATATAGCTAACATATATATTTCGGCCGATTTCATACATATTATGCACCAAACACGATATATATGACCGATTCCAATGAAATTCAGAATGTGTGGCGGAATTTTGTTATAATAATAAATGTGATAAATTAATTGGAAATTAGTTAAGATTTGGATATAGCTCCCATATATATATTCTCGCCCGATTTCACATATTTGACGCACCAATTTCAATTAAATATGAAAGGTGTGGCGGAGTTTGATGTAAAAGTAATTTTTTTTTAAATTATATTTAAATCGGATCAGATTGGGATATGATTTTAATAAGAACCATTGACCCACAACGCCTTAGGCTAACACTAAAAAACAACACAACAATTTATTTGAAATACGCTTATTACGGCGAAGTATGTTGCTATCTCGAATTCACTACTTGCAATAGAAATGCCACTCTACCTAAAAAAATTGCAGTTTCCTGCACGCTTGGTATTTGCTATGAAATAAATAAATCCAAAGGACAAACCCTTCGTGTATGCATGTCATGTTACTGCTTTTGTAATGATTTTGTTTATTAACGCATTAAATTAGTGCAATATTTTTTTTAATTTTTAAATTTGTTTTTCTTTATCCAACATATATTCGTAAATAAAATTTTGAATGCATATAAAATCAAAAGGGGTAGCGAAGCGCACCGGGTTCAGCTAGTACTATATATAAACCAAATTTGGTTTGCGATTTAACCTAAAATCCACAAAATTGGTAGGACGAAAAGATGGAAGCAAGAGTTTAAAGCCATCTTCTAATCTGAAGAGTCGGGAATCTAAAGGAGAACACCTGCGTTCTTAACCACATTTGAGATCAACCCTATTTTATAGTGAACAATTCTCTTAATTGCACCCCTCCCTTACCTGACTCTTTTGCAGCTCCTCGACCAACAGTTCCAATTGCTGTTGGAATTGATCCCGTTGTGTAGTCGCCGCCTGCAACTCAGCCTTAATTTTCTCCAGTTCTTTGTTGATTTCTTCATTGTTGGCAGGTGCTGGTTGTTGTTGCTGTTGCTGTGCTGCCTGTTGGGCTTGCTGCTGTGCCTGTTGCAATTGTTGTTGTGCTTGTATCAGCTGCTGTTGCATCTTCTGCATTTGAGCATGTTGTTCCTTAATATGCTGATCCATCATCTGGATGCGTTTATGCATCTCCTGCGCTGCCTTATCGGCCATGTCGGCCTTGGCCTTTTCGGCCTCGATAACCTTGCGGTATTGTTCGACTTCTTCGCGCGAGGCACCACCCTGGGTTGCTGTACCAGCAGCCTGTAAAGCTTTTTCCGATTCTTGGAGTTTTTGTTGCAGCGTTTGGATTTCCTTCTGCATGGCCGCCAGTTCGGCCAACTGGGCGGGTGAGGGTCCGGCCGGTGTGGGTGCGGCTGCTGCCACCGCAGCCGGTGTTGTCGCATGGCCGTTGCGCAACTTGCGATTCTCTTCGCGGGCCTTTTGTAATTCGGTTTCGGCGTTTTGCAACTCCTTCTGGAAGTTCATCAGGATCTCTTGACTCTTCTCCAGCTGGTGGACCAATTGTTCCCGTTCGATTGTCAACTGTTTGCAGTCGGCCTCCAACTGGGCCATGTGTTTCTCGAGCTGTGGATGTGGTTTGTCCGCTACGCCGGTGCGCGCCGTTTGTCTCAGAGCCTCCTTCTCGGCCTCCGCTTTCTCGAGGCGATCGTGTAGACGACCCAATTCAGCAGACATTCGTTCAAATTCAATGCGTGTAGATTCATTAGCTTCCTGTTGTTTAGCCAAATGCATTTGAGCTTTCTCCAATTCTTTAGCCAGTCTTCCGGCTTCCAATTCGGTAGCATCACGAGATTGTAAAGCCTTCTCTAACCTATCCCTTAACCTATCTATCTCTGTACGCTCTCCTGCTGTTACCGAAGCTCGCACTGACTCAGCCGGGCTGATGGCTGAAGATTGTTGTAATCTCAAACGTTCTACCTCCTTCAGAAGTTTCTCGTGCTTGTCTCGGGCCTTTTCGCGCTCGATGTGAGCTCTCTCCAGCTCGGTGCGTTGTTTTTCCTGGCTGGCCAACAGTTTGGCCACTTCTCCCTTGGAGAGTTCCAGTTGCAGTGATGTCTCGTGCAGTTTGGACTCCATGTTCTGGATCTCGTTTTCAAGCTTCTCATACTTGTCGCGGTACTTCTCGAAGGATTCTGATTCGTATTGGGACTTGCCGCGAATAGTTTCCAGTTCCATGAGAGTTTTGTCGAGTTTTTCACGCAAACGTTCGTTCTCCTCTTTGAGGCGTCGGGTTTCACGACCAAACGTTTCGGTGTCTTGCAGTTTTCGAAGTTCGGCCTGGCTCTTTTCATAACGATCGCGCATTTTCTCCATTTCCACAGCGTAGTGGGCAGCTTCCTCCTTGGCCGCTTCCACACTGGCACTGGCCTTGCTCTGAGCGGCATGGGCTCTCTCCAGCTCATACGATACTCTCTCCAGTTCGGATTGCAGATGTTCCTTTTCGCCTTGGGTACGGCGTAGATCGGTTTGAATTTTGTCATAGCGTTCTCGGTGGTGTTCGAGTTCGGCACGTGCATTGTCCTCGGCCTCCTTGGCTCTGCTAAGTTGCAGGGCGGCCCTATCACAGGCCTCTTGCAATCGGGTGCTTTCGTCTTGTAGCTTACGCAAATCTTCACGGGCTTTCGAGGCGGCCAGTGAAGAGCGTTCGGCCTCAACCTCAAGTCGGGCACGATCCGCTTCGGCCGTGTCACAGCGTGACTGTAAGCGATAGATTTCATTTTGAGCACGATCATATTTCTCCAACATCTTCTCGAACTCTTTGTTCGAGGTATCCTTCTCATCGATAAGTTTCTGGCTGGCGTACAGGGCCTTGTCTAGTTTCTCTTTGAGAATTTCCACCTCGGTCACGGCATCGTCACGTTCCATCTGAAAAGGATAATGGCGGAATTTCTATGAGAAAAACAAGACAACAATTCCGATACTCTTGCAGAGGCAAAAGCTACAACTAACAAACAGCCAATCGTTTTGATTTTTTGTTGTTTTTGTTGAGGTATGATGAGGTTAGGTAAGGTTAGGTTTGATTAGGTTAGGTTAGATTATATTATATATTTATGTAATTAAATTGGTTAACGTTAAGTTTCCGAACATAAGCATGCATTGTTTTTTTCTGCTTATTTAAGGTCCTGTTTGTTGCCACAATAAGTTGAGGTTCAGGTTAAGGGAAAATTTCGAAATTCTCTTTTTTTTTGGTTTGTTGTCTTTTGGAGATGGGGGGAAATTCGGGGAGATTGTGTAAATTACCTGTAATTTCTGCTGTATGACATGGGATTTTTCGTAGCGTTCTTTCAGTACTTCCAAATCGGTTTGCATTGCCTCTCGATCGCGGGCTGCCTTTTGTAGCAGGGTCTGTGACGATTCGGAGCGTTCTTTGAGTGTTTCCAATTCATCGGAGAATTGATCACGCTCCTTTTGGACACGGGCAAGTTGCATCTACATTTATGTGGTGTTCGATTTGTGGGTTTTAGTAATAGTTTGTTAAGGTTTTTTGTTTTTGTTTTTGGTTTTTGTTATTTCAAACAACAGGGTTATGTACACAAGTCGTTACAGAGTTACATCAAAGAAATTATTAATAGACAGAAATAGAAAGGGGGAGAGAGATAGAGATAGTAATAGATTTATAGTATGTTTGAGTACTAGTATTATGCGATAGGGAAGTTATTTCCGTTTTTTTACAAAAGAGTTTTACACAGACAAACACACTCACACACACACAGGGTTACAAATATACTATAGATAGTTTTAGTTTCGTTTTGTTAGAATTGCATACAAATAATTATTACATTCATACATGGTAGATGATGCAGGCTTGACATTGGCGTAGCTTATGGATTTTAAAGTAATAGTTTGTTTTTTTCTATTTATTGGATATTCCTTTTTTTTTTAAATAATTTAAAAAAAAAACATTAAGTTCGGTCGGGCCGAACTTTTAATACCCTCACCATGGGATAAAAAAAAACATTACGTATATAAAAGTATCTGAATTCAAACGTGTTCCACTTTAAACTTCAAATCGCAGTACGACCGTTTGGATAATGCTGTTAAACTTTAAAAAAAAAACCGAAAAGTGAGCGAGCCCGTTATGGGGGCCATACCAAAACGAGAACCTCTATAGATAATTTTATACTTCAAGTGTTGTCATTAACCAAATCTTCTTAAACACCAAATTTGAAACAACATCAAGGGTAAATATAACTAGGATTATAAAAATATCGAATATCGGTGGGTATCGCTATAGGAAAACGTGGACCTAAATGTTCAATGTTCTACCACCGGAGCAAGAACCCATTATAACCTACAAATACCAATTTTTAGACAAATGCGTGGAAAAATGTGGCGAAAATAATCAAAACACCGAATATCCGGAGATACCATTATGTGGGGGGCTATACGAAAACGTGGACCTATGTTCTATGTTCCGCCACAGGAGCTAGAACACATTACGAACTAAAAATACAAATTTCTGGACAAGTCCGTGGAAAAACTTCCAATAACTGTCGAGGAAGTGAATTCCACGATTATTAGAAGTAAAACTGTACACGATATTTGGTCACGCTTAAACCACCACGGGCGTGACTCATGTCTTCCCTAAAGATGCAACTTCCGTGGTGGAAAAGCGATATCAACCGCGATGATTTCTAAAGCTTAGGTGTGACTTCTAAGTGATTTACGGGATATTTTTGCTTGCGGGGTAGGAACAAGCGGTCAGTTTAGTATTGAATAGCCACTAGTAAACGTCGACAGTAAAGAGATAATACTGTGTGCAACGTAAAGAGATGTGTGCTAAATAGACTCTACAGGTTGAGATGAAAAAACTGCAGCCAACTTCAGATTGCTGTCATTTGTAAGCTATTCGTCCTACAGCTGTTAACATTATTCCAGTGACAGCTCATTATATTGTTTACAAGTGTACAAAAGCATTTTGCTGAAAATTTTCCGGAAAAAAGTTATTCGTGATGGAATTCAAGCGTGATAGTGTGATTTCTTTATATTTGGCGGGAAAATTACAAATTACAAATGGCACTCCAGTATATAAATGTGAATAAATCTTTTGTGCCCGACGTCAAGGAAGTGGACGGAAGAAAACACCAACATCCGCAGAAATGTTTCGAAAAGTAAAAAAGCGACTTGATCGAAACCCGCGTGGCTGTGGTCGAAAAATGGCTCTTGAGCTGAACATATTGCAATATTCCATCGGCAAATATCGAAAAATGAGCTCGGGGTAAAGCCATTGAAATTTCAAAAAGTGCAAGAACTTACACCGCAACGGAAAGAAAATAGACTCTAAAGAGGTGCTTAGCTTGGCCGAAAGTGGCGAACTGAACCGAATTTGGTTTTCTCCGATGAGAAAAAACATTCTATGTCCAGCAGTTTGTAAACAAACAAAGAGGTCAGCTAAAAATGTGCACCTTCGGTTGGCCAGTGGCCACCAGAACTCAAGCGCCGGCCATGGTGATGGTGTGGGCCGCCATAACAGCCGATGGCCGCTCTCCGCTCCTATTAATCGACCGTGGCATCAGAATAAATGCCGAATATTATCGCGAAAATATTCTGAAGGGTGTATTATAGCCTTGGGTAAGCAAATATTTTGGCCGCAGACCTTGGACATTCCAACAGGACTCAGCACGCACCACCCAAGAATGCTTACAAAATGAGGTTCCTTGCTTCATTTCCAGCACACAATGGCCACCAAAATCTCCGGATACCAATCCGTTGGACTATTGTGTCTGGAGTATTTTGGAAAGCAAAGTTGGCACTAAAAAATACCAACGTGTCGATCACGTCAAGAAAGCGCTTCGCCGGGAATGGGCCAAAAGAAGAGCAACATTCGGGCAGCGTGTGACGGTTTCATTGGCCGTTATTTAGGCCATAATTCGTGCCAAAGGTGACCAATTCAAACAAATCTAAACTTATTCTAAAATTTGATGCCATTTCCGACATTTTTTGCTTTCATTCAATAAAATTAAAAAAAAAAAAAATGTAAAAATTATGGCGTTTGACTTTTTGCAGTTTTTTTATCTCACCCTGTAGACTATATAGTCTTGTGAAAGTTATTGAATGAATGCAATGGAAGTAGATACCTTCATGATCTATACAGAGTTGTACAGAGGTAAAAGACAGAGCCTCCACATCAGCATACCATTTAAACAGGACTTATTAGTACTTATTCTTACGCAGTCATAAAATATATGGAGGAATATCATTCACATAGATCATCGAAAGAACAAGAACTGGTACGGCAAGGATCATTGGGGGGCATTTGTGATTAGCAGACCTCCGAAAATAGATAAAACTTTTACATATTTAAAGCATTCACAATTTTTACACACGCACATTTACAATGGCAACAATATTTTGTCGAAAGTTGCGATAAGCAATTGAGCTAAACGAAGAGGATTAATGGGAGTTTCGATAAAAACTTTTTTATATTAATAATACGATCGATAAATAAAATTTAAGTAGAAAATGTTATCGATAACAACGGTTTCTATACGAAATGTTGAAGATAACACTATTTTCTATAGATCATGATCTCAAAAGCATGATTTTCTTTTTATAATGCTATTTTCTTTAGAAATTGTTATCGATAATAACAATTGCTACATAACTTGCTGTCTATTGAACTGTTCCAGAACTGCAAGAATATAAAAGTTTTTACTGTGATAACCGATTTTCCCTTTATAATATCGAAGAAAATTGCGAAAATAATAGATTCTTGCAGGTTCTGGAACAGACCATATAATAACATTTTTCATTGTTATGTTATCAATATCAACATTTTGCATAGAAAATTTAATCGTTATCATATTTCAAGCATCCTTGAATTTAATAATATATAGATTGGCGCCCAATGTGAAGGTTTTATCCTATTATATGTCTATCTGTTCTTAAGCAATCATTATTTCAAACGTATTTTAACATTCCGAAATCAAAGCTACGCCAATGCCTGGAGGTTACAAATAATTGCGAAAACTTGTGCAGCTCTTACCTGTGTCTTTTCAAGTTTTTCACGTATTCGATCTGTGTCCAATGTAAGAGTTTCACGTTCTTTCTGCATGCGGGCTGCCTGACCCAATGCCTTGTCCAATTGTGATTGTAGACTGTCATAGTCATAGGTATATTTCTCCTTCTCCAATGTGAGGCGACGAACTTCGGCATTGGATTTGTCCAGTTTCTCTTGCAAATGATCGACTTCGTTTTGTGCCTTGTCCAATGCATTTTGCAATTTCTCCTGTTGTAATTGTGCTTTGCCCAATGTGGCCTGGGTGCGTTCCATTTCTTCCTTCATCTTGTCCACTTCGGAGAAGGCCTAAAGAGAAAAATAATTATTATTTTGTTCATATTTACGTTGTTTGGGTGCTACTTACTCTATCGCGATCGGCATGTATGCGTGAAATGCTGCCTTGGACCTTTTCTAGTTCCTGTCGCAAACTTTCCTGTTCACCTTGGGCATTTTCAAGTTTGGCCTTCAGTCTATACACTTCGCCCTGGCTCTTTTCGAGTTTCTCCTGCAAAGCGGCAGCCTCTTCACGTGCCCTCTCAGCATCCGACTGTTTGGTAAGTGGAGGGTGGGGGAAGAAATTCAAATTTTTAATTATTACATTTGTTACAAAAACAGTTGAGTTTTTTTTTGCAAATTTTGTTTTTCAAATTCACAACAAATGGGGTAGACAAAAATAACAAACAATCTATGAACTATGAAACGTCTAGGAATTGTTTAAAAAAGCAAATTTCGCAACAATGAATTAACATTAAACTTAAAAGTATATTTTATGAAATCTTGTTTTTTGTATTTTTTTTTAAATTAGAAAACGATAATTTTAGAGTGATTGTGAATCAGTTAAATCAGGAAAAAGACAAGGACAAATCTCGCAATTAGATCATTTAATTTAAAGCATACGTAGGCCTTGTCATTTCCTTATCTAAATTACATGTTTTTTTTTACATAGTTTTATTTTTAATGGTGGGAAAATGTAAAAATGTTTTGTGGTATTGGTATTAGTTGAGGTGGTAAGTTTAGATAGAGAGTAGTGCTTAAAGAGAAATTATAAGAAAAATGTTGAAAAGAATTTGAGAAGAAAAAATGTGTTAAGAGAAGAAAATGTTTCAAAAACAGAGAGTGAGAGTCAAGAGAGGCAGAGAGAAAGAGTTAAAAAAGAAGAAGTATTGAACGAAATATAACTCTCGATTTTGGGAGTATATCAAACAATCTCAATGTTAGTGTATACACGGGGATTCAATTTATACGATCTACATAACATACATTGATCTTTGGATTATCCCTAGTTTCTTAACTTTCAGGATGAAATTATTATATATACGTATTTGCATTCAATGTTATAAAAAATATTTCAATAAACCGAAAAAATTCATTAGACTTGCATTGTTTTTTGCTGTCCGACAAGACGTTGCCTATGTAACTGTACGACGATATACAGACGAGATTATTTTCAATTATCTTATATTCAATGTTCTCAAATCATACTAGACTTTCGAAGGCAACTTATCGCTCTATATTATTTTTTCACACACAAGAAGTCCTTACAGATAAAAGGTCATAAGAATGCACAGCATTTAAGGCTACCATAAGACGGCATTTCTTTGCTCTTGACAGATGCAAAACAAACGAATTTAAATGATAGTATTTCTTAATATTTTACTATAATACGAACGATAAGATTCGCGATCTTTTTTTTTAATAAGATGAAGAGTTAAAGTTTATGATCTATTTTTAAGGACAGTTACTAAAATAAGACATACCATATTGCCAATAGAGAAATGACTGTTCGGCTATTTTTCGATCAGTAACAATAGAAGTACTGATAGCGCATTGGTAATTGTGTCCCTGCACTGGAACTAAAGGGAGTCCCAAATATAAGGCAATTTTTAAATTTCGTGTTATTTTTCGACATTTGAACAATTGTTATTCTTTGCTAGTAGAAGGTACGATATTAGTAAAAATTGTGAACGACTCATTTTCATTGTGAAATTATTTTTGTTTTGTTTTCATTAATTAGGTATTAACGATGATGAGTATGCTGATGAAATCATCTTCAGTGACGAGGTCCATTTCCATCTTGATGACTTGTCAAAAGGGTGAGGAAAATCCTCGAGTTATTTTCGAGAAACAAATGCATCCTTAATGCGTCGCTTTGTGGTGTGGTTTTTGGCCTGGATGAATCATATTTTTATACCCTCCACCTTGGAAAGGTGGAAATATTCGTAGTAGACCCCATAAAGTATATATTCATAATCATAAAATTAGAAGTCGATTTAACGATGTCCGTCTGTCTGTTGAAATCACGATACATCCCACATTATTTGACGTAGAGCGTCAAAATTTAGCAGAACAATTTATATCGTATCTAGGATGGTTGGTATTGAAAATGAGATATATCCGTCCACGTTTTGGTATAGTCCCCATATTCGGTATTTTGAGGATTTTTGCCACATTTCTTCGCGGATTTGTCTAAAAATTGGTATTTGTGCTTTTTTTACTTGTTTTTAAGAAAATGAGGTAGGTCAAGTGTTTGGCATCGTGCAATGATAATTAGTTTTTATACCCTCCATCATTCTATGGAGGTTATATTAGCTTTGTCATTCCGTTGGTAACTCCTCGAAATATTCATGATAGATTCTAGAAAGTATAAAAATTCTTGATCAGCGTTAAATTCTAAGACGATCTGTCTGCTGTAATCACGCCATCTTTCGAACGAATTGAGATAGAAGTCTAAAATTTTGCACATGTTTTTTTCCCTTATGGGGGGGGGCTAAGTTTGTAAATGGGCCATGTCAGTTCACGTTTTCGTATAGCCCCCATATAACGGTACCTCCCGATATTCGACATTTTTTTATTTTAACGACATCATTTGCCCGAATTGTTGCAAATTTCATATTCGAATTTTGTAAGGGGTACCACTGCCTATGCCGTATTTGAAGATCTTTACACAATTATACCACAAGACAAATTTAAAATAGAAAAAGTAGGAAAATAACCAGTTGGAAGGAACTTGAAAATTTTTAACAATACGACCATACGAATTTTTAAGTCATTTTTTTTTGTCATACACATTACGAACTTAAAATACAAAATTTAAAACAATGCCGGTAAAAAAATAAAAATTGCGTTGCGTTGCACCTTTTATTAGGTTTTAATTATTAATTTTTTATTCCAATGTTTCGAAACCCCGAGTTTTATTATCAGGGCGCTATACACATTAAATAATAAAATACAACATATTAAAATACTTCGATTACATGCAAATAATTAGAATAATTAACATAAATCTTGCGTAGTAGGGTAAGTGTGCCTAAGTTCGGCATGTCCCAGTAGTCGGCACTTTTTATTTTTAAGCCCAAATAAATGAAACTTTTGTAAGTAAATGTATTTTGTTTACTTCAAATATATTGTCAGCTATCTTTGTGTACAATTTCGCTAAGAAAAGATGATTTATTCCAATAAAAATTAAATTTTTGTCTGTAAAGGTCCTCAATAATCCATATTCTTAAGAAAAGTACAATAAAGACGTCGAATCAGTTTAACTAAACAAAAATATTTTAATGAATTAATTTATTATTATTATTAACTATTCTTACAAAAAAATTGGTACGTCGACTGTTGGAACATGTCATACCGACAATTGGCAAGTGGTGCCGACTACTGGCAAAAAAGCATTGTTTTAATAAAACTACAAATCTATGAAATTTAATAAAAAGTTATTAAAACTTTATTTATTATTGCAAAAACTATTCAAAATTTCGAATCTGTATAAATTAACTTTGTAATGATTGAAAAGTTCCACTCAGAATGGTGCGCGAATAAAAACGCGAAAATCCTAAAAGTGCCGACTACTGGTACACTTACCCTATGATTGACGCGTAAAAGGTTTAGCCCTATCACAATAAACGCCCAATCCGTTATTTTCTGTTTTATGATATCGATAAAACAACAATCGCAAGGGTACGTTCAGTATGGATAAAGTTGTCTCTTTGTGGCTGTTGCTTTATCGGTGACACGTGACATGAAATAACGAATAGCACGTTCATTGTATCATTACGGACATGACGCAATAACAAGGTGTTCCTTCAAATTTTTCGTATAGAGAAACATATCGATCGCTGTAAATTTTTGGATCCCGCATTCGACAGTGTTTTTTTGTCTACTACTTTTTATCTATATTGCTGTTAACATTGGTAATAAGAAATTGGAAGCGTACGAGAGTTTCAAAATAAGTTTTGTACTCGATTTCGATTGCGGTGATTTGGTCTCAGATGTGACGTCAAAATTTGTGTACACTTTGTTGCCTATTTATCTTTTGCTCTGTGATTTCAATTACAATAATGCATTTTGGCATTAAACTTGGTAGTGAGCTGGCTTGGAAGTTTAACCTTGTACTTGGTCCATAATTACGGTCAAGCAGAATGAGCATTGCAAGCCTGAAATATATCAATAATACACCTACGAGGAGACACCTTTATCGATACTCTAACGTGTTAAATGTCTCAATGAATACATTCAAGGATGTTACGAGTTTCAACTTAAAACATTTAATGTTCTATTTGTTTGTCCTTTAATGTTTTATAAAGTCATTATTTGTCTACTTTATTATTCCAAAGATCAATGTATAGTTCAAGTGATTGGGGGCGGGGAGGCGGGAGCTATATAATATCTATTACAAATACATACAAAAATATACAAATATTTGTATATTTGATCGCAATGTATCACTGAGGGTTTTTTTATTACATGGACAATATACAGAGATAGAGAGAGAAAATAGACAGACATATATTGGGCGTTTCAATTAAAGGATTAACTAACACTTATCCTTTTTACACAATGGTGATTCTCATGTTTCTAAACGACAACAAACAAACGACAACAGCGAAATCGAGAGTTACCATATTTTATGATACAAGAAAAATGGTGACAGAGAAATAGAAATGTTAGGTTATGAAGCAGAACGTCGAATTTGATGATTGTTAATCACACGAATATCGAACAAATTGGAGGTATTTTTTCGGATTTTTTTTTTCGAATGCAATGACAAATACGAAAATTAACATGAATGACATTGATTTGATTGGTTGATTTTTTTGGTTAGTTTTGGAACAACAAACGAACGAACGAAAACATGATTAATGCCAGAATATCGCAAATATGTTCTCTATGACATTAAACGAAATTTGTTAATGGTTGCGATAGTGGTGGTTATGATTTGTCAAATTTATTTAACAAGGATTTTGGTAGATTTCATTTCATAATGAACATATATATAATAGTTTTTTGTTTTAATTTTTTACAACTCAAAAAGATTTCATTTTGTTAACATTTTTTAAGGAAAATTTTAAGTTGCATAAATTTTTTCTTTTTTTTTCGAAAAAAGAAAAATAATTTTTAAATTTGCTGTTAAGTTTGTTTTTTTTTTTTTTAATTCGCATTGGAAGCAATTACTCACAAAACGTTTATCGGTTTCGCCCTAGGTTTTGATACAATGAATGTGGCAGAGAGAGAGAGAGGCAAGCATAACGAACGATAGATACGATAGGTACGAATTTGAGTTTGACAGTTGATATTTGTTGGTAAATTGTTGTTTAATGTTTGGATACATTTCGACAATTAGTTTTGTAAAGTATTTGTGAAAATATAGTAAATATACAAAAACTAAAAAATATGATTTTTTCATATAAATTAAAAATAAAAAAAAAAAAATAATCGAAATGATTTTTGTACATAACATTACACAATAAGGAAAACTTAACGAAAAACTGGGAAGTGAGTGTAAGAGAAAATATAATAAAATTGTATTTTATTGAGTTTCTTTTTGTAGTATATATTTGTTAATATTATTTGCAACAGCTTATGTCAAATTGGGGTTTACTTGAAACACAAATCGAAAACAAGTCAATAACAAATTCATTGAACAATAAATATTCTATTTAAAAATATTACTACTAGCGTCAAAGAATTATGACATTTTGCAATATTAAATATTTCGGAATTAGTTTTTACATTAATTTATTATACTTATAAAAATGTAACAATGGAATCCACTCAATTTTATATATTTTTATTTTAGGCAAAATTTAATATATTTGCATTTAAAGTTATTTTAAAATGTACTAAAACTTGTGGTGTTTAGCATACATACACATACAGGGTGAGATAAAAAACTGCAACAAAGTCAAACGCCATAATTTTTACATTTTCTTTTTAATTTTATTGCATGAAAGCAAAAAATGTCGAATTGGTCACCTTTGGCACGAATTATGGCCTTCAAACAGCCAATGAAACCGTCACACGCTGCCCGAATGTTGCTCTGCGGTATTGTGGCCCATTCCCGGCGAAGCGCTTGCGTGAGGTAATCGACACTTTGGTATATTTTAGTGCCAACCTTGCTTCAGACACAATGGATTGGTATCCAGAGATTTTGGTGGCCATTGTGCGCTGGAAATGAAGCGAGGAACCTGATTTTGTAACCATTCTTGGGTGGCGCGTGCTGAGTCCTGTTGGAATGTCCAAGATCTGTGGCCAAAATGTTTGCGTGCCCAAGGCTTTAATACAACCTCCAGAATATTTTCGCTATAATATTCGCATTTATTCTGATGCCACGGTCGATTAACACGAGCGGGGAGCGACCATCGGCTGTTATGGCGGCCAACACCACCACCATGGCCGGCGCTTGAGTTCTAGTGGCCAACCGAAGGTGCACAAGCAAATTCGCCAGTTCACCACTTTCGGCCAAGCGGAGCAACTCTTTAGCCCTTTTGAGTCTCCTTTCTTTCTGTTGTTCTTGCACTTTTTGGAATTTCAATGGCTTTATCTTGAGCTCATTTTTTAATATTTGCCGAATGGAATATTGCGATATGTTCAGCTCAGTAGCCATTTTTCGGCGACTGTGACGCGGTTTTTGATCAAGTTGCTTCTTTACTGTTCGAAACATTTCTGCTGATGTTGCTGTTTTCTTCCGCCCACTTCCGCTACCAGTACCACGGTAATGAGCGATGGTACGAGACACAAAAGATTTATTCACATTTAAATGCTAGAGTGCTCTAACGATAGCTACTTGTGGTTTTCCAGGCAAACATAAGGAAATCACACTATCACGCTTGAATTCTATTACGAATAACTTTTGTACTGGAAAATTTTCACCAAAATGCTTTTGTACGTTGGTAAACAATATAATGAGCTGTCGCCGGAATAATTTTAAAAGCTGTCGGACGAATGGCTTAGAAATGACAGCAGTAGTTTGTTCATCTCACTCTGTATGTAATGGGAATTATTTTTTGGTAAGCAATTGTCCAACTAGATTCCATGTTAAAATTTTTTTAAATTAATTTTAATGTTTATGTACATTAATGAGTCTAGCTGATCTTTGACAGAAGCTGCTACTTATTTGTAAATATGTATTTGTATAAATATAAGTATATTGTATTATTATGTTTTCATGAATTCATTTAAACTTTCTTCTGAAATTATTTATGTATTTGTTTTGCTTGAGTGGTGTTTAATGTTATGTTATGTTATTCCGTTTTAATTATGTAGGTTTCTTTAGAGTGTTGATTGATTTCATAAATTAATTACACATACATTTATTTTTATTTATAAATATATGAATACACGTATTATGCTTGATAAATTAAAGAAAAAAACAAAGAGAAGCAGTTATGTTCTGAATAAAAATAAAATACGTTTTACTAATGCATTTTTTTTTTTTGATTGAAAGTTGCATTGATTATTCGAATATCATTCCAATGATAGTTACTTAAATCATTTAAACACCACTTAAAATAAATTAAACAATAAAATATAACACAATTCATAAAAAATGCCAATGGCTTCACATAGATAATTTAATTGCAGAGTAATTGTTTTAAATAGATACACATAATGTTTGATGTAGAACGTCGAGTAAAATATTGTAATTTAAGACGAAAGAAATGCAATCCTTTACTTCATAGATCAAATTTCACAGGATAATAAGGATCTAAATGTGGTGAACTCACATGAAACAAGTGAAAAACCTGTAAATTCGGCCAGGCCGAACTTTGAATATCCTGCACCATTTGGAACGAATTTGGCAATTTTCAAAAACAATAAAATCCGTTAAAAATTCTGTTAACATCTTAAAAATGCAGAATGTTGTTGCGTTCATCCCCATTATAAATTTTTTATAATGTGCAATATAATGCACCGAACGTGCTGAACGCTAGCCAAAAAAGAGAAATGGATACGCAGGGCGGCCGGCAAAATTTTAAAAAGTGATGCCAAGTTTCAAGTTGTTTATTGTACAACATGAGAGACGTGTTGCAAAAATACAACACTGGGGATAATAGTGGGTAGGTAGGATACCTGATAAAGGTAAATAATAAATGTCAGGGAAATTTTGGGAAAAGAGGGAAAGTTTGGTTGAGCGTCCTTGGTGGCCGTATATAAAGCACAGAGAGGGCTAAAAGCGCCATTATTTCAAAGTGGTGTGGAACAATGTATCTGTTTTATTAGGGTCTATAGGATGAAATACACCCGCATAGGTAATATTTGTCATAAGCCATTACAATATTCAAATGCGAAATTTAAAAAAAAATCGGTAAAAATGTAGCTAAAATCATTAAAATACCGAATATCGGGATGTACCGTTATATGGGGGCTATACGAAGACGTGAACCGGTACAGACAATTTTCTGTCTTAGGCTGTAGTATCCGTTACGAACTTCAAATACCAAATTTGAAACAATTCTGGTGAAAATGTCCCTAAAATCATTAAAATACCGAATATCGGGTTGTACCGTTATATGGGGGCTATACGAAGACGTGGACCGGTACAGACAATTTTCTGTCTTAGGCTGTAGTATCCGTTACGAACTTCAAATACCAAATTTGAAGAAATTCATTCACCGGAATTGAATTTAAATGTCGCTAAAATCATCAAAATACCGAAAATCGGGAGGTACCGTTATATGGGGGCTATAAGAAGACGTGGACCTGCACAGACATTTTTTTGTAATAGGCCGTAGTATCCATTACGAATTTCAAATACCAAATTTGAAACAATTCCGGTGAATAATGTCGCTAAAATCATCCACATACCAAATATCGGGAGACATGTTTATTTAGGGGCTATACGAAGACGTGAACCGGCACAGACAATTTTCTGTCATAGGATGTAGCATCCATTGCTTACATCAAATACCAATTTTAAAAGAATTCCGGTGAATAATTACGCTAAGATCATCAAAATACCGAATATTGGGAGGTACCGTTATATGGTGGCTATACGAGAACTGAACGGTACCTTCCGATATTCGGTATTTTCATGATTTCAGTGACATTATTTATTGGAATTATTTCAAATTTCGTATTTGAAGTTCGTAATGGATGTAACAGCCTATGATAAAAATTTTGGTATACGGGTCCACGTCTTCGTATAGTCCTAATGTAGCGTTTTTCAAATTAAGTGGTAGTTTTCGGATTTTTTTTAAACATTTTCAAGTTCCTTTCAAATGGTGGGGTGTATTAAAAGTTCGGCCCGGCCGAACTTAACTTCTTTTGTACTAGTTTATCTTATATTGTGGGGAAATTAAATGTTTGGTCTACATGTTTTATAGCAGGGTACATTTATAGAAGACCATACAGTTCAGGTGCTTTGGCAGAGTCACATGATAGTTTAAAATTCTCTGTTTTTGGAATATAATTGTGTTTGTACAAGTCTTTTTTATTTTTCCCTAAGTTCTGCAGTTAAATTTACGATGAGACTAGGTTTCTGTTTCATGACAACTTCTTTGAATCGAAATCATCACATTCAGGACTTCTTTTTACAGAATTGCTTTAGCTAATACAAATTTAATTTTTTCTTTCGTCTCAATTTCCCTTCGACATTCTGCAACAAACTCACAGTTTTTGATGTATTCTAATTTATATTTGGTTTTTAATATTAGTTTTATTTGAAATACATATATTTTATATAATATTATTAATATTTTAAAAGAAAATTGTGAAAGAAACCCAAAACATATATTGGATATGATATTGAATTATGGGAATAAGGAAACAAACTCAAGAAAATACACACAAATAAGAGTACAAAAACAAATGTGAAAAAAGTTTGTGGAATAGATAAAAGTTTTTCGCTTTTTGACAAATTTTTGTTAAAGTAAAAAACGCTGAATATACCTGAGTGACTCTCAGCTCGGCCTGGGTACGCCTGAGTTCGGCTGCCGCTTTGTCGGCCCGCTCTGTGGCCCGTTCCAGTTCTTGGGAAGTGGTTAGTGTTGTGCGGCCAAACGTTGTCTGCTTAATTGTGGACATTTTCATTAGTTGTTGGTTTTCGGTGTTGTTGTTGTTGTTGTTGGATTAGATGATGATTGTAAAGTAAATATTGGTAAAAATAACATTATTCAGTACACAATTTAAAACATGTAATTTGTTGGTATTTTTGCAATAATCCAGTTAAGTGAAAAAGGCGAAATAAATCCAGCAGGAAAACAAAACTTTATTAGAAAATTTATGCAGATGACTGGTGATTATTATGGTGATGCTTTAAAAAAGATGATTATGCTGATGATTACACGTCGAATTTGATGATTGATTAGTTATTAGTTGATGGATGTATGAGTGATGATGTTGATGAAAGCGAGTTTGCTATGGGACCAATTAGTTTATTCACCAAGGAACGCCTGCCTTATCCAATTGAAAAATCATGCCAAACTCGCCGCTCTGTTTTTTTTTTTTTTGAATTGTTGATAACAATATTCAGGTGTTGTTGTAAAATGTCATGTGCTACATACATATGTTAATTGATCTCTACTCGATTAGATTTATTTTATATATATTTTTTTGCTTTCTAAATGAACGAACATTCGAATATGTATGCATGTAATTTGTTGCAAGAAGTTCTTTAGGTATGTATGAAGTTGCGTGTGAGTTTGAGAAAAGTTTGAAGTATTTATTTTGACTATATTTTTTTTTTTGGCATTGTTGTGATTGATGAACATGTTCGAAGTTTGTTTTTTTTTTTTTGGTTTTTGTTTGAAGAAAAAAAAAAAAACAAAACAAATGATAAGAAATTTAGCATTTTCTTTTTTGCGCATATTTTTTTTGTAACAAAACAACTATAGCAATCGCCTCTATATTTCTACAAGCAGCCACTTACCGATGATATTTGTCCAGATTCATACATTAATTTTTGTACCGACTGGAATTAGTGTTTGATATTTGTAAAATGTTATTAAGTTTCAGTAATATCAGATAACTCATGATGATAGTAATATGAGTGATGTTGAAGGTTTTATTGTAATACAGTTAAGAGCAAAATTTTGAAAAAGAAAACAAGTTTTTGCTGATTTCTGTTGAAAAAAAAAATTTTCCTTTGAAGAATGTCCAGAGATATTCAAAGAAAATTGGTTAAATACGGATATAATTTTTTCAATAAGCCTTTCGCCATTAGAATAGATTCTTGCGAACTACAAGACCTCCTCAAAATATTTTTAGCAGTTCAAATCTTTCAATTTTTTTTTTTACTTTTTGGTTTAACTTAAATTTATGAGCTTTTGGCCTTCGGAAAGAATGGATTTTCGGATATGCAACATTGCACTGCCCGTACTGCGCAATACAAGGTGGTGGCAATACAAAAGTCCTCCTATCAGAAAATGCTACTAATTTTACGATTGGCTCCTAATGTCAGTTCTGTTTTGCAATTGTTGTTGTAAACACATGTTAATAAACAATGTTACGCTACACTGCTCCAAAACGCGAAATACAGGGTGAGATGAAAAAACTGCAACCAACTTTAGACTGCTGCCATTTCTAAGCCACTCATCCGACAATTATTCCAGTGACAGCTCATTATATTGTTTACAAGCGTACAAAAACATTTTGGTGAGAATTTTCCAGAACAAAAGTTATTCGTGATGGAATTCAAGCGTGATAGTATGATTTCTTTATATTTGGCTCGAAAACCACAAGTGGTTATCGCTATCGAACACTTTAGCATTTAAATGTGAATAAATCTTTTATGTCTCGCACCATCGCGTCTCGTTACCGTGATACTGGTAGTGTAGCCCGACGCCAAGAAAGTGGACGGAAGAAAACAGCAACATAAACAGAAAATGTTCGAAAAGTAAAGAAGCGACTTGATCGAAACCCACGTCGCAGTGGCCAAAAATAGCTTGTGAGTTGAATATATCGCAATATTTTATTCGGCAAATATTGAAAAATGAGCTCGGGATAAAGCCATTGAAATTTCAAAAAGTGCAAAACTTACACCACAACAGAAAGAAAATAGACTCAAACGAGGTAAAGTGTTGTTCGCTTGGCCGAAAGTGCTGAACAGCCGAATTTGGTTTTCTCCGATGAGAAAACATTCGTTGTATAGTAGTTTGTAAACAAACAAAATTATGGTGTTTACTAGCCAAAGAGGTCAGCAGGAAATGTGCACTTTCGGTAGGCCACCAGAACTCAAACGCCGCCCATGGTGGCATCAGAATAAATACCGAATATTATCGCGAAAATATTCTGGAGGGTGTATTAAAGCCTTGAGGTTCCTCGCTTCATTTCCAGCACACAATGGCCACCAAAATCTCCGGGTACCAATCCGTTGGACTATTGTGTCTGGAGTACTTTGGAAAGCAAGGTTGACACCAAAAAATACCAAAGTGTCGATCACCTCAAGCAAGCGCTTCGCCGGGAATGGGCCAAAATACCGCAGAGCAACATTCGGGCAGCGACTGACGGTTTCATTGGCCGGTTGAAGGACATAATTCGCGCCAAATGTTCTAAACTTATTCTCGAACAAATCTAACCTACAAATCAATTCGAACAGATCGCAGATTTCCTGGCCGTCCAATGCCTACTGCTGAAACACTGCGAGTTTAGCCACTCGCCCCGAAGAGACTGGCACAACAAAAGAAGCTTCCGGGCGTGGGGTGTACCACGTTATCCGTTCTGCCAGAAAATTGCTGCTGTTGCCGAGGATGTCAAGGAAGCGCCGTCGACATCGATCAAACGACACGCCACGCAAATGGATATCAGTCAACCGAATTTTGGCACAAAATTTGAAGATGTTTCCGTATAAAGTTCAGATGATGCATCAGCTGTTAGCTGCTGACCGCCAACCACGTCTAACACACGCTCAAGCCATCCTTAATCACCACAAAGAAGAAGATGATTTTTCATCAAAAATAATCTTAGGGGGTAAGTAAATAAACAAATTTACGCTTCTGGGGCTCTGAAAATCCGCGAATAAACCACGAAGAGCCATTATACCCACTCAAAGTCACTGTATGGTGGGCAGTTTTTGCTGGAAAGTTTTCGAAGACGTCGCGGAAAAGGGTTACCACAGAGCAATGATCAACGAGATCTTTTTGCCGCAACTTGATGAGATGGGAAAACATGTGGTGGAAAACATGTGGCTTGACACAATCGATATGCTGAAGGATGCATTTCCCGAGCGCCTAATCTCCTGTTTTGGCCAGCAAGATCGCCTGATTTTTGTGGGTCTATGTCAACAAGCCCCAGACTCAGCTTTCAGCTCTTAAAGACAATATCCGTCAAGAATGTGAGGACCTTTCGCTGGAAGTTTCGCCAAAGTGATGGAAAATGGCATAAAAAGGGCTCAAATGACAATAAACTGTGGCGGCGGCCATTTACATGACATGATATTCTCGACTTAATGCAAAAAAAAAAAAAAAATGTCCAAATAAAAATAATCCACAAGTAGAATCAAAGTTTTTAATTTTTTTATAATTACAGCCAAAAAACATGGGAAGATTACTTTTGCGCCACCTTGTACATGGTCCGCAATAAACCATTTTTTAAACTAGTGCTTATTTCGTGAAAGGTAGCACTTTGTTTATATCTGATTGCAAATATAATTAGTTTGATCCTTCCGCTGAAAGAATATGGTTGTGCATACGCTTGAATAACGCTGGGAAATGGAGTGCAAAAATGGCGTTCGGATTTTGAAAGAAGATATGCACCGTCAGTATGTTGACACATAAAAACGACACGAAAAAATTGAAAAGCCGATGCACCCAAAACGAGTCAGTGTTTGGTGCGGATTTTGGTCCGCATTTTTATACCCTACAACACTATGTGTTGGGGGTATTATAAGTTTGATTGGGCCAAAAATTATGTAACACCTCGAAATATTGATTTCCCACATAGGAAAGTATATATGGATCTTCCTAGCTCGCCGAGCTGAGTCGATCTAGCTACGTATGTCCGTCCGTCCGTCTGTCCGTCTGTCCGTCTGTCCTTGTTAATTTGTAATCACGCTACAGGTCGCAATTATGGCCCGATCCTTACGAAATTTTGCACGAAGGTGGGGTTAAGGTCAGAATAGAACCCTATTTCTTTTGGAGATGATCGCCAAATGTTTAGGGGCTGAAATGGACCAAATACTGAAAAAATGTCGGATTTTGCAGTAGCTATACAGGTAGCAATTATAGACCAATCGACGCGGAATTTCGCACGAAGCTAGAGTTTAGGGCGGGAAAGAAGCCTACCAATTTGGGTGGTCATCGGATAATATTTAGCGCGTAAAATAGACCATATCTTTTGTGTTGAAAAAATTCAAAATTTTTCATTAAAGCGCGAATATTTTAAACCACGGCGAAATCTCAAAGCCATGATAAGGTTACTTCTGATCTTTAGATTGATGTTAAGATCCAAAAAAATCGAATACATAGCAAATATATGCGATATATATGTCTATCAAAAGATATGCTTGAAAGATCTCATATATGTCGAGAACGGCTGAACTGATTTCGACAGTTCTCATTAATTCAGAATGGCCTCTTGGCAGGAAAGAAAAAACGTCTAAAAAATCGCATAAAAATATTTCTCTAAAGATGAAATATTGATTTTGTAAAATTTTCTCATATTTTTTCAATTTTGTCATATTTTTGGCATATTTTCATTTTGAATTAAACATTTGGTAATATTTCTACAGCTAACAAAACTAAGTAGTGAGGATTTCAGGATATCATATACAGATCGCATTTATGGCCCGATCCTTACGAAATTTCGCATGGGGATAAGATGAGGGTCAGAATTGTAGCCTACTCTTTTTGGAGATGATCGGGGTTGAAATGGACCAAAAAACTGCAAAATTGTCAGCAGGTCGTAATTATCGCCCGATCCTCACGCACATTTGAATGGGGGTTACCGGACATTGCAAAAGCCAAGCAGTTTTGGATGGCCATCCAAAAATATTCATTGTGTGAAATAATTTGCCAACTTTTATAGACAAAATACGAAAATGTCCATTCCAGTGACTTTTTGGAGAATTCACAAATACAGGAAAGACGCACTTCTGACTGTCTGTATCTCATATAGATGCGTTTCAGTCAAAAACCAATAATAAATGTTAATTTTTTGCCACTTCTGAGAGATTATAGGTTTTTGGGAAATACTGGTTCCAGATCTAGGAAGACCATTTACGTGCAACATTTACCAATAAATTGGAAATGAGCAAATTAGTTTAAGTTGCTATTATTCGAAAATTAGAGAACGAAACCTGATGGTTTCGCCTATATAAACTGTATCGTTTATTATAGTGTTGTAGGGTATTCAACGGTCGGCCCCGCTCGACTGTAGCCTTTGCTTACTTGTTTTTTATAACTTTAGCTGGATTTGTTCCCCTACAAAGTAAATCATCAGCTGAGTCAAAAAGAGACTTCAGCACAGAAAACTGTGATGGTGGTGAAGATCTCATATGTGAAATCTTCAGGCAGAAGCGGTGAGGCCATAAGTCCAAATTCCCAGGAGGACGAATCGGTGAAATAGCCGCCACTAACGAAGAAAGGAATCATGTACAGGAGTTAGGCACACGATGACAAAGTATTAAAAATTCTTTTCTATGACACCAGCTGCTTCTGTCTAGACAGACACAAATTGTCTCAGCAACCGCCTAATGTGCAATTTAAGGCATCCGATGTTACTGTCCCTGAACGAGGCTTTAGTGATGGAAATTGGTGATGCTTTGAATCATGAACGGGGGACAGTTTAAGATGTGAAAAAAAAAAATAGCCGTGTCTTATAAATTTGCTTAGTTATTAGAAGAAGTTCCGTGAAATGGCGGAACTACGGGAAACAAACGTAAAGCATGAATGTTGCCTGAAGGTGGCTGTAGATGCTAATATGCGTCGTAGAGAAATGGATCAGTTGTTAAACCTCCAGGTTCAACGAGACAAA